TATAACTATAATATTAATTATATAATACGTATAGTTATATAAGTACCTTATATAATTAGCAGTTTAGTAGGTTATATTTTAAATTATCTTTCCCCTTACTTTTCCCTACTAGAGGAGGAAACCTATAAGGAATAATAACTAGAGTTATAATAATATATCTATTCCCTTATTATTATCTATATGATTAAATACCTATAAATACTTAGGATTATTACCTTTTATTATAATATAAGCCTATCTATAACCCTATACTATATAGGCGTATATACTACGCCTCTGAATACGCTTATACCTATGCTAACAGTTACTTCTAAAAGGTTTTTTATAATTATCCTCTTATAGTTTCTTATTAAAGTATTATTAATATAAGTCTTAAAGCTTTTTAGCTTTAGTAGCTATATCTCTAGGTCTTTTTACTTCTACTTTTTATTACTATAATTCTCTATATATAGTAAGTAAGAGTCTAAAGAAATATATAAAAGTTTCTATTTTATTATTCTCTTAGCTTTTTATACTTAAACTATAATATATTACTAACTAGGGTTAGGAAACTAGTTGCTTAGTATTTAGGTAGACTAGTTAGTTAACTAGTCTAATTAGACTTAAGTTACCTAATTTAGCTAACTTAACTTAACTAGCCTAGTCTTAGTTAATAGGGTAACTTAACTAGGCTAATCCTAGTTAACTAGCTAAGTAACTAGTTAGAACTAATTAAGTTATATATAAGTTAATTAAATAAATATTTAATTAATTAATTAGATAACTATAATAAATATAAGTTATATTATATAATATTAATATTATAATTATATAATAACTAATATATATTAATAGATTTTATATATAAATACTAGCTATAAATATACTTTTATATATAGAGCTAATAATTAGTCTAGTTAAGTTAAGTTACTTAATTTAGTTAACTTAACTTAAGTAGCTTAGTCTTAATTAATAAGGTAACTTAACTAGCTTAATCCTAGTTAGCTTATTAACTTAACTTAACTTAACTAAATCCTAACCTTATTACTAACTACTTAGTAAAGAACTAAAGTAGTAATTAAATCTCCTTCTATTTAATAGTATTAAGTTTCTCTTAATACTAAAACTCTTATATTTTTAAGTTAATATATCACTAATAAATAAATCTAATATAGTTAATTTAAAAGACCTCTTCTATAAAGCTCTTCTTATAATAATATTATTATATTTACTAAGTATAAGAGAATCTTATAAGAAATTACTTAATTTATTAGTTTAATATACTCTTAAAGTATATTTAGTAACTATTCTTAATTATTTATATCTAATTAT